GAGAAGGAGAAACGCAGCCGCAAGAAGGCCAGTGAGCTGCGCATCCACGACCTGGAGGATGACCTGGAGATGTCGTCTGACGACAGCGAGGCCAGCGGCGAGGAGGGTGAGGCTGGTGGAGCCTCCCTGGGTGGCTGTGCGGACCAGCCTGGGTTGTGCTCTGTCAAGGTGCTTGAGTGATGACTCAGGAAGGTTGATGCCACTGAGGGAAAGCTGAGTCAATCACAGCCCCTTGAGAATGGGGACAGGGCACGGCGGGCTGCACACACCCCTGGGGAAGCACGGGAGTTGGTAGGAGGCAGAGAGAGTGACCGGAAGGTCCCAGCCACAGCATTTACAGGGGTGTCTGTGGGATGGGCAGCGCAGGACAGGGTGAAGGCTTTGGACCAGCCAGTTTGAATGATGCTGGAGGCCCCTAGGCTACAGGGGTGGATTCTAGTGGTCCGATACACAGTCCTGGGGGGTGCAGGGATGGAGACGGTGGCCCTGAGTGTGAGTCAGAGAAAGGAAGTTGAGTGTAGACTTAGACCGGTCAGTTTGCGTGTGAGAGGCGAGTCCGGGGCGTCTCTCCCTGCTCAGTGAGGCCCCCAAGACGTACAGACGTCCTCAGAATGAGTGCCCAGCCTGAGTCCTGCTCTGCTTCCCTAGGTGGCAGAGCCCCCAAGGCCAAGAAGAAGGCACCGCCCGCCAAGGGAGGCAGGAAGAAGAAGAAGAAGAAGGGGTCCGACGATGAGGCCTTCGAAGACAGCGACGACGGGGACTTCGAGGGCCAGGAAGTGGACTACATGTCCGACGGCTCAAGGTGAGGCAGGCGGGAGGCGGGAGTGCGGCGGGTGCGAGGCCTGCGCCAGCCTGGCCCGGGCGCTCCCTCACCCCTGGCTGGTTCTGGTCTTCCAGCAGCTCCCAGGATGAGCTGGAGGGCAAGCCCAAGGTCACCCAGCAGGAGGAGGGCCCCAAGGGCGTAGATGAGCAGAGTGAGAGCAGCGAGGAGAGTGAGGAGGAGAAGCCGCCCGAGGAGGAGAAGGAGGAGGAGGAAGAGAAGAAGGCGCCCACGCCTCAGGAGAAGAAGCGCAGGAAAGGTGGGTCCCCTCCCCGTGGCCCGGGCGCCCCGTTCCCCCCCCCCCCAGCCCCTCATCTGGGGTGGAGCCAGGGTGGGCGTCCTGGTGCTGACACTCCTCTGGCCCCACACAGACAGCAGCGACGAGTCGGACAGCTCAGAGGAGAGCGACATCGACAGCGAGGCGTCCTCGGCCCTCTTCATGGCGGTAAGGCCTGGCCCCCGGGCGGCGGCGGGCAGGTGGGCGGGTGTCTGTCTCTAGACTCACGTCCCAACCCCATCTCCGCAGAAGAAGAAGACGCCCCCCAAGAGGGAGCGGAGGCCGTCGGGGGGCAGCTCCCGGGGCAACAGCCGGCCGGGCACGCCCAGCACGGAGAGCGGCAGCACCTCTTCGACCCTGCGGGCCGCCGCCAGCAAGCTGGAGCAGGGTGAGCAGGGCCCGCCCCCACCCCTCGCCGCCACCTCTTGCCCGCCACCCTCAGCCTCTCCTTCTGCCTCAGGATCAGAGGCCAGAGTTGGGGCAGAGGCCCGGGCCCCCTGGGCACGGGATCCCGGCACCACTCTACCTGGGCTCCTGGGGGTCCAGTCTCCAGGCCTGGGACTCAGGCCCTCCCCTGCTCCCCCAGGCAAGCGGACGAATGAGACGCCGGTGGCCAAGCGCTTGCGGCTGGACGCCGGGCCGCAGAGCCTGTCAGGGAAGTCGACCCCTCAGCCCCAGTCCGGGAAGTCGACCCCCAGCAGTGGGTAAGTTGGTGAGGGTGCTGGGGGGCAGGCAGGGGGCGTGGGGAGGCCTCCTGCTGATGCCCGCCCGCCCTGCCCCCTGCTCTGCTCCTCAGCGATGTGCAGGTGACGGAGGACGCCGTGCGCCGCTATCTGACTCGGAAGCCCATGACCACCAAGGACCTGCTGAAGAAATTCCAGACCAAGAAGACGGGGCTGAGCAGCGAGCAGACGGTGAACGTGCTCGCCCAGATTCTCAAGCGGCTCAACCCGGAGCGCAAGATGATCAGCGACAAGATGCACTTCTCCCTCAAGGAGTGACAGCTGGCGCCGCCCTGCCCCCCAATAAACAAGCTGTCTCAGAACGTCTGTGCTCCTTGCGTTGTCTGTCGCCTGCTCCCTGGACCCTGGGCCCCGTGTTGCCGATTCCAGAACAGCCCTGGCCGTTTTCTTAGCTTAGGTCTCTCCCCCTCTCTGTCCCTCCTTCTGGAACGTTCTGCTGCCCCTTAGAGCTTGCTCCTCTTTGCCCTCGGCTTGTTGTGCCCGTTGAGCATGTGCTGCCGCAGGCTGGCCATCTCTCCATCTCTGGCTTCTGGTTCTTTCTTCAGCAATAGTTCATCCCCCCGTTAGCCCGTGAAGTGCTTGGCTTCTGTGACTCACTTTTCCAGTCCTCGAATTATCTTTGCTTCCTTTTCAGATCAGCTGGTCTGTTTTGGCCCCAATGGCTTTGATCCCTTCATCCCACGTTTGTGTTTTAAGCTTCCGGTCTTACTGTGGCCTCTGTCAGGGAGCCGGTACCTGCAGCTGATGGCCATCCTGTTATCCCCTGACTCCTCTCCACAATGGATTCTTGTGTTTTTTAACTGTGGTTGGGGACTCAGGGCCAGCCCAGGCGCTCTGCCTGGGCCTCCTGGGCAGCTGGTTTTGCAGGCAAATCCCACAGGTGCTTTTAGCCTTTGCTCGCCCACGAGGTGTCCTGGGAGCCCTGGACTGAGCCCGTGTTAAGTGCCTCTGGGCTGGCGGGCTCTGTCCCAACGTGGCCACAAAACCCCAAACTCTTGCTGACATTGGCACTTGGGCCCTGTTTTCCAGCTTCCCAGCGATGTGTCTAGAGCTTCCCTTATTTCCTAACGAGTTAGTTCTGCATTTATTTTATCTAGCATTGCTAATGTTGTGCCGTGGGAGGGCTTTTTGGCTTTGTGGACAGTTTCATTGCTGGAAACGGAATTTGGCAGCTGGCGCTACCTTAGAACCCCGTCCCGAGTCCCGCTGGGGGCAGGATGTGGGGCTTCCGTCTTGCCCCAGTCTGGAGACTAGGTGGAACGCTTCCCCGCCCAGTTCCATGGGCCCTTGGCCGCCGAGCAGGGATGCCGGAGATGTCAGGCTAATTCCTAGGAATGTCCCAGGTCTGTCCAAGGAGGCCCCTCCCCATCCTTCCGCCAGGCCTTTTGGGGCAGCAGGAAAGCAGTGTTGACCCCTGGCCCCTGCGTTCCCAACTCCTGCTCTCCCTGGCCCAGGACTGAGGCCAAGGCCTCTCCCCACCAGGCCAGCCCACGCTCCCTAGTGGTTAGGAGCAAGGGCCTGGTGTTCTGCAGGGTCTGGCTTCAGATCCTGGCTGTGTTGAATTCTGGGTGACTTTGGAGCAGTGACTCTTCTTGTCCAAAGGTGGTCTCAACAAGCACTGAGGGAACCAGCACCCACCACAGCAGAGCGAGGGAAGGAGTGTGAAGCAGGTGGGAGTTCGGGTTGGTTCAGTCCTCGCTTACGCGAAAAGCCAGCGGCCACTCCTGAGCTCATGCTTGCGCCCAATGCAGGCTTTCTTTTTTTTTTTTTAATTTTTTTTTAAATGTTTTATTTACTTCTAGGAGAGAGAGAGACAGCGCGAGCAGGGGAAGGTCAGAGAGAGAGGGAGACACAGACTCTGAAACAGGCTCCAGGCTCTGAGCTGGCTGTCAGCACAGAGCCCGACGCGGGGCTCGAACCCACGAACCATGAGATCATGACCTAAGCGAAAGTCGGATGCTTAACCGACTAAGCCACCCAGGCGCCCCCAATGCAGGCTTTCTGGGGCTCGGGAACGTGACTTGCAGTTTCAGTAGCGAACACTCGATGGCCCCCCGGTTTGCGCCCCTCCCCACAGCCTGGGCACCCCTGTGTCGCACACCCCTGCCTACAGCCATGTGTGCTCATGGCACGCTTTCTGGGTTTTGCCCACTTGGGCTGCAGGGTCTCGTCCGAGGTTTTGCATGGCCTTAACCTGTGTGTGACCCAGCACCTCTTTAAACCTCCCTAAGCTGTTTGTGCTTCTTTGCCTCGAAAGCTCTTGCAAGCTCCTGTCAGATGGCATATTACACTACATGCTCCATCTCTCTGTCCTCAGAACCTCATGTGGGAAAGACGGATTAGCCCCCTTTCATAGGTAAGGGATGGCCTCACATCCCTGATGTTACAGGGGCCAAGCATGGAAGTCACTGGAAACTGCTGCTGGGCTTCTCTGACCCAGCGGGCTGAACCTCCCCTCCCGCCCCGATGCCAGGGCAGGGCTGACGTTCCAGGGCCCGGGGGCCTCCGGGTGGCCTTCCAGAGACAGGAGTCGCTGAAGGGTGAGCTTCTGACCCCTGTGATCCAGTTCTTGGCCGTCCCCCGGCCTCTCCCTTTTCCGGTTTTGGCGCTGGCCCAGCCAGGCCCGGAGATGGGCATGATGTCTTAATCTTCCAGGTGGCAGCCATGATGGATTCCCCATGGGCTTGGCCACCTGCTGACCTGTCTCTTCCCGAACACCTATCTGCCCCACCCGGTGCACGACATGGGTACTCCTGAGCCCTGGCACCCTGCCTGAGTGCGGAGGGGCCACACTGGTGGGCCCACAATGTCCCCCAACTCTTTCCAGAAAGCAGGTGGGGTGGGGAACCCGGCTGCCCGCCCTGGGCTCGGCTCTGGCGGCCACAAGGGTAGTAAATCAGGGGCGGAGGGGGTGTCGGAAATGGGTCTGCGGAATGTCTGGATGGGGCGGGGAGGGGGTGAGAGCTTAACTCTTAGAAGCAGTGGGTGTGAGGCAGAGGGATCGGCTTGCCGGGCCCTGAGGATGCGGGAGAGCCGCTGGTATGGGACGTAGGGTCTTCATGCCGTTAGCAGCGGCAGCGAAGAGGTTATTTCTCCAGCCCAGGCAGGGAGATAAATTGAAGGTGCGAGGCGTCCCCGCCCTCAGGATCTGCCCATCACAATGGCCCCAGGAAAGGTCCTACTCTGCTCTCTGCTGCTCCTGTTGCCGGAGCAGGGCCTCAGCAGGGGCTCTCGCGCTTGGGGGGCTCCGGTGGTGGAGGAAGAGCCACAAGGGACCCTGAGGCCACAGCTGGGTAAGGACACTCTTGGACCCTGCATGACTCCCCAACTCCTTCCTGCTCAGACCCCACTGGCTGTCAGCCGCCCCTTGTCCCCGGCAGGTGCCCGCCTGCGCCGAGCTCTGGCCGGTCCCTGCCAGCTGTGGAGCCTGCCCCTACCTGTGGCCGAGCTGGGACTGGGCTACGCTTCCGAGGAGACGGTCATCTTCCGCTACTGCGCAGGCAGCTGCCCCCGCGGCGCCCGCACCCAGCACGGCCTGACGCTGGCCCGGCTGCGGGGCCAGGGCAGAGCCCATGGCGGGCCCTGTTGCCGGCCCACTCGCTACGCCGACGTGGCCTTCCTCGATGACCGCCACCGCTGGCAGCGGGTGCCCCAGCTCTCGGCAGCTGCCTGCAGCTGTGGCAGCTAAGGACGCCTGGCCTGGGGCCCTGCAGCCGCTCGAGAAGCTCTGCTGACCTATTTATTGGAGACTTGGATGCCGATGAGATCAGAGAGGCGGTGGGCTGGGGGCCACCTGCAAGGTGCATAATAAAGGAAACTGCTGCCGCATGACTGTGTTCAGCCAGGGTACGCCTTGACCCTGTCACCTGCATTCCCAGCGCGTGGACAGGGAGGGTCCTAGGCTTCCCCTGCACCTCTCGGCGCCTGCAAGCAGCCAGCGCAAGGAAGGCCAGTCTGTCCATTTTCCAACTTTATTCACAAACATGGTGTCTCTGGGGGCGGGGGGAAGGGCCTGGGGTTCAGCAGGCTGGGGGGGACTGCCCAGGCTCACCTGGTCCCATCCCCTCAGGGAGGGAGCGGCAGATCACAGAGATGCGTCGGCCCCGGGGAACCCGACGCCCCCCAAAAAAGGACTCTTCATCCCGAAGAATCTCATGGGAGAAGTCATAACGGGCCGCGCCCCTGCAAGAGAAAAGAGGCTTGGGCTGGGTGGGGTGAGGGCAGCCCCTGCGCGGGGCAAGCTGCCTGGTAGTGGTGGTGGGGGGGGTTGGTGCGGGGGTAATGACAGTGTCTGCTGGGAGGGCTCAGTAAGACAAGGCACTCAACGAGCAGATGGGTGAGCATCTGATGAGTTATGGGGGGAAGGGGGCTCCCCGGCTGCGCAGTACCTAAGGATGTAGAGGGAGCCCGGCTCCAGCAAGAGTTCCAGCCATTCCCCGGGCTCCTGGGTGTGCACCAGCCGCATGACGCTGGGAGATAGCAGGGATAGGCCAGCGATGGTGGCTCCACAGAACTGGAAGACAGCGCATGGGGGCCACTCAGTCTCTGGCCTGGCCGGTCCACCCCTAGCTGGGAGCTCCAGGGCTCTGGCTGCTGCCCACCTTGATGCTGTCCACATGTGGCTTGATGTAGCCCCGAGGTTCCAGGTCCAGCACATGCACCGAGGACAGCAGGGTCTGGCCGGGGCTAAAGGCGGCCGCTTGCACGCGCTGCAGGATGGCCCGGCTTGCCTCTGACCAGCGTGACTTCTCTGTCTCTCGGAAGCCGTGGATGGCCTGCACAGAGAATTTGGGTCAGGCCAGGAAGCTCTCAGAGGGAACAGGGAAACTGAGGCACAGTGGTGGTGGGGGCAGAGTGCAGACCAAAGGACTGGTTTTCCCAGCATGACCCTTGACCCCACCCTCAACTCACCACCTTGGTCCTATCGACCCCATGATCCTGAGCGTCAAACCCCAACCCAACCCCTACCCCACCTAGGTCTAGCCCTACTCCTCTGTACCCGCCCTTAGGCTCCAATTCAGTCCCAGATCCTGTCCCCAACGCTGGCCCCACCGCAATATCCAATTCTGTCTCCGCCCACAACTTGATCCCACTCCAGTCCTCTGTCTCCGCACCCAACTGGTGACCCTCCTCATCTCGCTCCACACCTGTCTCCGCCCCTAACCTGGGTCCTGTCCCGCAAACACCCCACAGTTTCAGACTGGCCTCCAGTTACGGCCCTGCCCTCATCGCCGAAGTGCTTTCCCTTCCAGCAAAACACCCCGGCATCAAACTCCGCCCCATGCCGCCGGCCCCGCCCCCGGCCGTCGCTCCCAGCGACCCGGCGCTCCACCCCTATCTCCACCTCTAACGTCACTGGCCGCGCCTCCGCCGTAGCCCCGCCCGAGGCCCCGCCCCCATCGCCGCCGGCCTCACCGCGTCCCAGTGATCGTACTCGTAGCGGCGGCGGCGCAGCTCGGGTTCCAGCTCGCGGCTCAGCGTCTCCTCCTCGGCCGCGCTCAAGAAGCCGGGCCGCACCACGGCCGCCTCCCGAAGGCGGCTTAGTATGGCTGGGCCCGAACCCCGCACCCAGCTGGACCGGGGAACGGCCCCCAGCGCCAGCCGGCCACCCGCGGCCATAGCCCCGGGAGCCGGGGTTTGGAAGCTGCCGGAGTCCGGGCAGCGCCCCCGCCCCGGAGCCATTGGCTGGGGCTTCACCGAGCCCTTTCAGTGATTGGCCTTCTTCGGGGTCCCGCCTCCCCCTGCCCCGCCAAGACTACTGGTTGCTGCTCAGCTCGCGCTCTCAAGCTATTGGCTCCCCGTAGAGCCCGCCTCCTTTCGTGCGCTATTGGACGCCGTCCACGGTGGAGGCCGGGGGTCGGGGCTCGACGGCAAGATAGGGCCTCGGTTTCGAGTTCAGGAGTTACGGGAGGATTTAGGGCAACGCCCAGGTTGTAGAGCAGGCCAGGACTAGAGATTAAAGACAAGGTACAGTCAGGCTGAGATGAAGGGGTCAAGGGCACAGAGGTCAGGGGGTGGGGCCAACTTAGAGGTTGGGGTCAAAGGTTAAAACCAAGCGTCACCCATTTCCCGTCTGGACTGGGTCATTCCCACCCGTGTACAAACAGGCTGGCTCCCACCTTATAAATAAAAAAATAGGGACGCCTGGGTGGCTCAGTCCGCTGATGTCGGCTCAGGTCATGATCCTAGAATGGTGGGATCGTGTCTTTATACCTCAAGTCACCGGAAATATCAGGGACAGATGTCACAACCTGTCCTGACCAATCATCAAAATTCAGAGGAAAGTCCACAGGACAAAGGACCTTGTTTCTCCAACAAGGGAATTTCAAAGGATGACAAGAAAAAGAGGGAGAGATTGAGACAGAGATTAAGGGGAAAACCCACAGTTAAAAGACTGCGATATCTCCACCAGTTGCAAGGTATGCACCTGACTTGAACAAATTAAAAAAATAGAGACAACTGGAGATATTTGGACACTGGTTGACTATTTGACCATAGTAAGTACTGTTACTTTTTTAGGTTTCAAAATGGCATTGTGGTTGTCTTTTAAAAGATGTATCTTTTTAGAAATACCTGTGGAAATAGAGACTCCCTGGCGCCTCCAGTGACAGCCCCGTGTTCTCTGCTCTCCTTATACAACAAAGTTCTTTGAAAACCTTGTCCAGCTCCCCTGTCTCGGTGCACTCCAGTCTGGCTCTGGCCCCCACAACACCGGAAGTGCTCCTACTTGAGGCTGTCAGTGACTTCCACTGTGCCAGATCTAGCAGCCAGTTCTTAGCTTGACTGCTTGACAAACATTTTGATTTTATTTTACGTTTTTATCCCCAACACTGACCCCAGATTCATCATCCTCTGAGGCACATCAAACACCAGAAGTAACATGGCCAAAGTCAACTCCTGATTCCCGGCCTCCCAACCTGTTCCTCCCCACAGCCTTTCTGCCCGTTAGTCCTGCCTTTAAAGCCTGGCTGGAGGGGCGCCTGGGTGGATCAGTCGGTTATGTGCCCGGCCTCGGCTCAGGTCATGATCCCACGTTTGTGAGTTTGAGCCCCGCGTTGGGCCCTGTACGGACAGCTCGGAGCTTGGAACCTGGAACCTGCTTCAAATTCTGTGTGTCTCTCTCTGCCCCTCCCCTGCTCGTGTGCACTCGCTCTCTCAAAAATAAACACTAGGGGCAGCTGAGTGGCTCAGCTGGTTAAGCATCTGACTTCAGCTCAGGTCATTACCTCACAGTTGGTGGGTTTGAGCCCTGTGTTGGGCTCTGTGCTGACAGCTGGGAGCCTGGAGCCAGATTCGGATTCAATGTCTCCTTCTCTGCCCCTCCCCCATTCATGCTCTGTCTCTCAAAACTGAATAAATGTTGAAAAAAAATTTTTTTAAATAAACAGCAACAACAAAAAACCTGGCTGGAAAATCTGACCCCTCTGACCACCCAGCTGGGACTGCCAGCCTTCTTCTGATTATTCTGAGTCTCCTAACGGGTCTCCAGGCTTCCATGCTGGCTGCGCTTTGCCCACCACTGCCTGGAAGCCACAGTCTTGCTTTTCGTTCTTCTCAGAACCTCCATGTCTCATATCCCTCCCTGCCCAGATCTACCTCCATGTCTCGTCTCCCTCCCTGCCCAGCTCTACCTCCATGTCTCGTCTCCCTCCCTGCCCAGATCTACCTCCATGTCTCGTCTCCCTCCCTGCCCAGATCTACCTCCATGTCTTGTCTCCCTCCCTGCCCAGATCCACCAGGCCTTAAGATCTGTCCTTCCTTTCTGCTCTCAAATCTCCACTGCCCCCTGCCACTCCACTTCAGCCACCGGAGCCTCCTTGTGGCCCCTCCCACAGTGGTAGCCACAGTCCTGCCACAGGGCCTTTGCACTTGCTGTGCCCACTGCCTGGACTGCTCTATCCCTCCCTCACCTCACATCTCTTGGTTCAAGCCTCACCTTCTCAGCAAGGCCTTCCCTGGCCACCCCATCTAAAACTGTCACACACTCACACTGCATACCTCTTTCCTTGCTTTTTAAAACTTCTACCCCCACAAGAATAAGCTCTTTTGAGGACAGGAATTGTTGTTTTCTTCGCCATACGCTGTGGCCTCTAGAACAGTGACTGAAGTGTCGTGTTTGCTGAGTAGACTTTGCTGAAGTTAGGGAACTGAAGGTCAGAGTCTCAGGGTCAGGGCGAAAGCAGACGGGGCCTCCTGAAGGGCACCTGGGTGTGTGCCATGGTGGAGGGGGAGGGAACGTGACACAGATGGGGACCAAAGACTACAAAGATTTAATTGCAAATCACAGTGTCTCATTCAAGGTATCTGCCCTTAGCAGCACCCCCAAATCCATCCAGAGTTCCTCCTGGCGCCCTTCAGGCTCAGCAGCGAGGGGTGGGCAGGGCGACAGCTCCTGCGGCTGACTGGCGCCCAGTCCCCCCAGCTTCCCCTCTGGAGGGTGAGGGCCAGGTCTCAGACGCCCGCCGGGGCAGGTTCTGGCGCTGTCGTGGCCGCCACAGGCTCCTTCTGCACCAGTTCAGGCTCGTCCTCACCGTCCTGGGGAGGGTGGACCAGAACCTTGTCTAAGATGCCGAACTCCTGGGCCTCCATGGGGCTCATGTAACGGTCCCTCTCCATGGCCGACTCTGCCGGGGAAGCAAGAGGCAGGACATGTGTGGTTAAGGGCGGGCACCCAGGGCCAGGCTTGAG